GGGTAGAGGAGGCTACATTGATTCAGCAATAAGCTGTGTAAGCAACTGGGTGTGGTAATGCTGAAAAATATTCTTGACTCTTAGCTAGCAATTTATAGCTGTGTGCAAATGGCTAGAAAATATAAAGGAAGCTGAAATGAGTAACTTGTAAGTTGCGTGAATTTCTGTAGCTTCTGTTATTAGAAATTGTTGTTGGCATCTTGAGGGGAAAAGCCAACCATCCCTTTGCTATAGTAAAAATCTCTGCTGCGTGAAAAACAGATGTCTTCTTTGTTACTGTATCTAATAGTTCAGGCTTTATTTTTTTGATTTTAATCTTTAGTGAATCTGGTTCTTTGTAGAGTTTGTTTATTGTTTTGATGCGATGGTGAGGTTTTCCTTCAAATAGGAGAGTAATCCAGAGGGACAAATGCAAATACAAATTTCCACTGTGTTTCTTTATACTTTTTGTTTGGCCTGATAAAGGGACTTTTGTAAAAATGAGGAGAATTGCAATACAAAAATCATCTCATGCCTTTTTTTCAGGTTTTACAGACTTGACAAATAAGCAGCTGGTAACTAGCCTCATTTCTTTGTATGCACAAGTGGTCATCTGGTTCTGTCGATCCAGTCTCCTTCCTGAGGGTTTAGGTAAGCCTAAACTGTAATACCAGAATGTTTTTTTTACAGCAGAAGCACTAGCTGCATGTTTTGAACCTTTTGTTTATTGCTCAAGGTGAGCATACACGTTGGAAGTGTTCTTAATTTAAATAGATTATAAACTCTATTGCCAACCTTCATTGCTTACTACCTTACAAATGCTAACATGATACGTTCAAAAAACCGTTCCCTTTGATAGTCATTTATCTAATAGTGAACTTGAGCTTTCACTTCATGCTCTGAATGCTGCATCAGCAGTAAACTTGAAGTGGATCTTGAGACAGGAAGACGTATTCAGACGTATTTAGACCTTCTCTTAGTTCTCTTTTAGCAAGGGCAGAAACAGTATTGCATTATTTGAGAGTTGGAGGTGTTAGAAATGATACGGCTTTAATAAATTTTTTGAATTAATGGCAGTGGGTGACTAGGTTTCTTTTCACAGACTCTTGTCAGTATCAACTTTTAACAACCGAAGATTTGAGTTTCTCAGGTTCTGATAAGATTCAATAAATAAAGCCTGAGGGAGTTGAAGATTGGACATGTGAGATCTTGGAGTAACCAGAAGATACAGATGAGATTAACAAAGACATTACAGTCTGAGAGTTGGAAACTCTCTGTCTGAGGAAGAATGATAAGAGGAACATAAAATGCAGACTAAATTAGCATTAAGGGCAAGAGATCAATAACCAATAAAAGATACAATACTAATTAACGCAGAGAATTGTGTAACTTAGAACCATTGATGTTAATTTCTTCTTTTGGTAAAACATATAAATACATGAAAGTCTTGAAAGGGATATATGTAGCTGGAATGATTTGCTACATATCTCTTGCCAGAATAAAGTAATGCCTGGCTCACTAACCCTTAAAAGCTAGTGTTGGAGGGTTTAATTTCTTCTTGATGATTTTTGATGGCAGAGGCTTCTTGATGCTTGTATAATCTTTTGTCTTTTTTTGTCAGAAGTCTTAGTTGAAATACCTCTTTAACCTGCTTTTATATTATTGCCTGTAGATGATCATATGCATTTGTCTAGACCTTTCTACAATTATCCTTTGATTCAGAGCTACTATACTGGTCACCGACAGAAACTTCAGCGTTTATCAAGGTAAGACTTGCAGGAAAGCTCTAGAAAAACGTCCTCTGTTAGACTGTAGGAGAGTGGGGTTTTTTCCACTTAAAAGCCTTTGCCTATGCTTCCTTGGTTTTACACGTAATACAACAGCAAAGAAAACCTATAAACGGTCATTGCAACTTTTCTCTTGGATTTCTACTTTAGACTCCTTTACTAATTCTTGTGACCTAAAGACCGTCTTTTCTTCAACGCAGAAATATCTGTCATGTGCATTTCAAGCCATAGTCATGCCTGTGTGGGTGTGTTCCTTTCTTTGATTCATAGGAAGGGGGTTTTTTGTTTTGACTGGTGGAAATGTTACACTGAGAGGCTGGACTTAGTGGTTTATTCTGTCCAAATCCTTGCTCCTTTTTGTTGCAGAGGAAAATGGGATTCTGACTGCTTGATGATTGATGGAATGGTTTCCCAGTTAGGAGACCAAGTTGAGAAGTTGTGGCAGAGAGATGAAGGAGGAACTGGGAAATACCCACCTGCTAGTTTACATGTGAGTGTTCTGTTCACTGAAAGCACCAGCAGCAGCAGCAGTCCCCCAAAGCCAACGATTTTGAAAGACAGGAGCAATAGAAAACCTTTTAATCTTTCATTTCAGGCACTGCTGGATCTCTATTTGCTGGAAAGTGTTGAAGAAAGCGACAAACATGCAATTGTATCCTTTCTAGTTGTTGTCATTGCACCTCCAGAATAGGCACATAACTGTTCTTATGTGTTTGTCATTTATGTGTTTAAGAACGTTTTTAAATTTATGCTTCAAACAGAATGTGAGTGAATATATTTAGTATAGAATTAAGTCCTAGACAGAAGCATTGCTTTATTTCTTTCTAGTTTGGATCTTTTCTGATTTCTTGGTTGGGTTTTTTTAAATGTTTTATTGCAAAGTCTTTTCTGATATGAGAAAACAGGTTCCCTAAAAAAAAGTTCAAGTTAAAAACCTCCCTTAGTTTTTCTCAAAATGTACCAGTTTTAAAATTTTAAGTACCCATATCTGTAGCAAATGACTGTGTGTTAGAATGGTGCACTAAAACGTGCTGCTTCAGAGCCAAAGGATTTCTAACAGTGGTTTTCCAGTACGTGATTTTGCCAAAATCATCCATTTTCTAGCCCAGCTAACTGTGCTTGCTTTTGTTGTGTTGAAAGTTGCAGGCACTCAGAATAATAAAGAGGGAGAAGGGAACAGTCATTGGGCAGAAACCTAATTTTTAAGCTGCTAGATCATGGAGGCCTGAGAGGGGAGCCTAGAGAGCTGTCTTATGACCCTAACAACTGATGTCAGAAAGGGAAAATGACACTTCTAAGCGAGGGATCCACGTACCATTTTAAATCCAGTTTGAATCACTCAGTGAGTGCTAAGGTGTATTGTAAGGGCACCATAATTTACACTGGAAATGAAGAAAACAAAACACCTGTAGAATTTATTTGCTTTAATAATTAGGCATTTGACAGTCAAGTGTCCAATCGGTAGCTCCACTGATTGAAGCAGGGACCTGAGACTATAACAGCAGTATTTAAATATTTAAATATCTAATGATCACATTTTTGACTGCCTTACAGAAATCCAAGAGTGTTTCTTTCTGGCTGATCATTCAGAACAAGATTTTGTAGTTTGGACTTCATTATCTCTATATAACCGGTTACAGTAGCATAAAATGGCAAGACTAACATGTTAGTACTTTTTGCTTCCCAGCATTTTTATATTCTCATTGTTTTACTAAATGTAATGTGATAAATTTTTGGTCTTAGCGATTTATTTGCCTTAATTAGGGTACTCACTCTCAGACAATTTACTTGCTGTTGGATATCATGCATTCCTTTCCAAATAGAACAGAAACTTCTATCGACTCCTTTCCAACTGCCTTTGCTATCCCTTGGGGTCTCGTTAAGCTTATTCAAGGGTTTTGGCTTCTAGATCACAATGATTATGAAGTAAGTATGTAACAGTTTACTTAAATACACATTGCAGTGCAGAGCTGTAATTGATAAAATTGTTTTTGAAAAATTGGTGCTTAGATATTAGCAGATACTGAAACATCAGAAGCATTTTTGTAACACTGGTCTGACATGTGGAGCAGTAAGTTATGATTTGAAATTTCACTTGAACTGCTTTGGCAGGGAATTAATTAAAACAAAGGAGTAGTCAACTTTATTAATGCTTGATATTTGAATTTTCAAAGCTAGCCATCATAGGGGGTTTTCAGCAGACCAGTTGAGCACTTTCTCAAAAATAGTGTTTTGGGTACTTTAAGTATGATACCTATGATGATAGCAGCAGGATTTGAGATGGAAGATTGCAGAAGTGACTTTTCAACCTAATTCCTGTTCTTCCTGATGCTGGAGGTTGTTCTTTGCCTGTCACCATATCAATAGAATGAATTTGTTTGTAGAGTAACTTCTTATTTAGTGATATATTTGTAAAAAGGAATGTTTGTGCACATAGCTTTGTTAACTTAGAAAAGTTAACAAATCCTTTTAAAACATTTGCTTTGTTCCGTATGGCTAACTGAATTTTTTCTCTGCAAATACTGAAGAATTCTAATTGACATGTCCTGGATCAAATATTTCATTAGACATCTATGTGTGTTTAACCCACCTGCAGCCTTGCTTAAGGAAGTGTGGACTGTATGTGTGGCATGTGTGCATGCATATAGTCTGATAAATGTGATCTCTGACTTGTGCAGAATTCACTGGCCCTGCTCTTCCACCCAGCTACAATCAAAACTGTGCCGTGGCAACACACGAGAATTATTCAGTCCCTCATGTGCCAAGGAGAGCACAGGCGAGCCCTCAGGTACATCCAGATGATGAAGCCATCCATGTCAAGCAGCAGCGAAGTGCGGCTTTTCCTCACTGTGCTGTTGTCCAATAGGTAAGGAAATCTGTCCCACCGTTTTGGCATTCAGATCCTGGGAAGGGGCGAGAGCAGATAATACAAATCGTGATCCTCTACATTTCCTTTAATCTTTGAATGAATACAATGACTTTGGGGCATCTTTTTGGTTATGCTGTTCCCATTCCTTTCCATCTCCCAAAAATTAACTACAGGTGCATGGTGGAGGCTTGGGGTCTGTTGCAGCAACATACCACTAAATTAAATGTAGAAGAACTGTTAAAGCACATGTATGAAATCTGTCAGGAGATGGGGCTGATGGAAGATTTACTGAAGCTGCCATTCACAGACACTGAAAAAGTAAGTTTGGAGAAGACAAAAAAAGTCTGAATGGTCTGTTTGTGAAGAGAAGAGGCAGAATCCTCATAGGTTTTTGTAATGTGTTATTTCTCACAGGAGTGTCTGGAGAAGTTTTTACAGACCAATGCTGGTGTTCAGAATCATGAATTCCTTCTAGTCCACCATCTGCAGCGTGCCAACTATATCCCTGCACTACAGCTGAATCAGTCAATGAAGGTTAATCTTATGGTAAGGGTAGAAGTCCTGTCAAGTGTGCACGAGTTTCTCTTCGTGTGACTAACCAGTTTTGATAGTCCTCAGTAAAAGGCCTGCTTTATTTCTTGTATCATTTTTTGAAAGACTATGAATAAATTCCTACACATCAAGTTACAGCTAAACCTAAAAGCTGAACTACTGAAAAGCTAAACCGAACCTAAACTACTGCAAAGCTGCTTTGTGAAGTTGTAGATTAAATGTTACAGACCATGGTTGACTCCACTTGAAATAGTTTGTTTGCATCTGAGGAATAAATAAGTATCTTACCAGGCCATCTGTTCCTTCAGTTCCTCAGATCCCTATGTTGTGTATTGTTTAGACTGCAGAAGTTGTTTATGTCACTTGTTTCTGTGGATAGTAGTGTATGTTGTATGTCCTGTCTTGTTTTTGTAGCTGAGAGCAAAGTGGATGCTCCACAGGTGAAATATGAATGGTGGGGTTTTAGTTGGTGGGGTTTGGGGTTTGTTGTTTTTTTTTTTTTTTTTTTGTTTGTTTGTTCGCTTTGTTTTGTTCGGTTTTTATTTGTTTGTTTTGGTTTTTGTTTTGTTGTGCGTTGTTTGTTTTGTTGGTTTTTTTTTAATCAGAGTTCATTGGGCTTTGCTAGAACTACTAGATGAAATTGGTCTGTGCCACTGGATTGGTCTGTGTTCACTGGATAGAAAACTTGCTGCGATTCTGTGCAGTGGACATATTTTACTGTATCTGTAGAGTGCATTTAGGCCCTAATTAGGAAGAGCAGAGATATTTCCATGCAATCAACTTCTTGTAAATAGTTAACTTCTTGATTTATGCATTTTGTTTGTCAGAATGATCGTGATCCTCGCTTGAGAGAAAGAGCAGTTGCCAGAAATTCTCTGTTAGACCAATATGGCAAGATCCTTCCTAGAGTTCAAAGGAAGCTGGCTGTAGAGAGAGCTAAGCCTTACCGTTTGCCTTCATCGGTCTTAAGAGAAGGTAATTTTTGGAGGGAGGAAATATTATGGACAACCAGCCAACACTTTGATTACACAAGGCTGACATTTTTTCTCTTGCTTTACAGTGTCAAGGCCAAAGCCATTATCAACAGTAACACGACAGGCTAATGCAGGAAATGTGCACACACGAGCAACTTTCATCAGTAAAGTACTGTCCAAAATTGGAGAAGTATGGTTAGGAAATGAACAAAAACCAAACATTTCACAATATGATAGGTAAGCAGCCTTTTCACAAAGTTTAGTTTTGAGCTACGTGTTTGGACAGGGAGGGAGGGGGAGAGAAAGAGCAAGAATTCTGTTAGTGTTATGTTAGTGTTTTGGTGGAAAGGTGCATGTGAATAAAGCTTTGGTTTGCATTTTTGCATATACCACATATTTAAGAATCAATCATAAATAATAACTTTTCTGCTATGATAGTCTTATCTATAGAAATATATGTATTTACATTATGGTAAATGTGTTTACAGTGTTTAAGATAGCTGAAGCTCAAACTGTTATCACAATCAAGCAGTTGGTGTACATACATTGATAGACTTGTTTGTGTGATCACATAGTAATCTTTTACCATTTCCTGCACAGTTTCTACCTTTTTTACTTAAAAATAAGCAGAATTATGAAGAGCGGAAAAGAGGCTCGTAGTTGTCAGGTGATTGTCCTACAACTGATATGGTCAAATAAACTGGAATTATGGTATGTCTGGACTTTGAGGGAATGAAAGTCAGTTACATTTTCCTTTTCCTTTTAGTCCTAGAGCTACAGAACCAGCAGTCATTACACATCCTCTCCCTGGTACAGAGTTGCCCGATGCATTTCTTGGGACACCTGTTACAAAGTTTTCTCAAAAATGTTCCAGGTATAGAAGATCTAGAGACTGTATGTTTCAAAAAGGTGTTTCTTATATATGTGTGTGTGTGTGTGTGTGTACTTTTTGTGTTTACCAAAGGTTCTATTGCATTTAGCTTTATATCTCTTAAAGAAAAGGTCAACTTAGGGACACAATTAAGTGGAAAATGTGAAGTGTCCCTGCACTGAAATGTAGATGAGTTTGCTCCTGAACTGAGAATTAGAGCATTTGTGCAACTTAAAATTGTTGCACGAATTGTATATCAGAGGCAGAGATTTAGGAAATTAGGTATGAAATGTAAAGAAATAATTAAAAAACACCCTAAAGTACCTGTCATTTGTTTGTGGGCCTAATGCGTCACCCCAGAAGTGAGGCTGCAACTGTATTTGTTGTTCATCAAATGTTTTTGTTCTGTATCATCTCAGATGAACACAGCATGATTTTTTTCGTTTATGTTCATAGCTTAAGTTGTGTGTCTTAACAGATTGCTGGATTTGGTGGTTCGTCCTGTTCCTTCCTGTTCTGCGGCACAGGGTGAAAGCTGGCAGACACCATGCAGAGCTTCTACTTCTTTTGTGACATCCAGCCCACTGCAATCAAGTACACATCACTCCATCTCTCAAAAGAATTTTCCAAGAGCATCAGAGCTGAATTTACTGGAGACTCCTCTTGTGGTAAAGGTTTGTATTTTAAAAAACTGGTAGCAACCAACCAAAAGGAAAGCTTGTGAGCTTTGTTTAAAATTAAGCCATCAAAGTATTTAACAGGAACACTGCTGGATTAAAATTGCAAGATATTTTCAGTATGCATGGGATTATTGTATACAGTTGTTCTGGAAGCAGTAAGTTGGAAACAGTCTTGAAGAGGGAAGTTTAATTCTCAGTTAATTGCAGCGGTCACCTTGTCCCATAGCTTTGAGAAATATTGTGTTTATTCCCTGGGACAATTAATGTCTGAATTATAATCTTTTTCTTGTTAGGAAATATCACCCATACCATTGAACGAGCTTCTTCCTACTGCTTTTTAAACCCTTTCAATACTGTAAAATATTTCCGAGCTAAGAAACCTGAACATTTCTACATGAAGATGTGTAGGTGCTTTTACAGCAGTGTCACTTCATATCATGCACAGCTGATTAATTAGTGAAGAAATAAGATGTGGCTGTTGCTTTGCTGAGTTGCCATGTTGGACACAGCAACTGGAAATGCTGCCATGTAGAATAACAGTTGAAGTTGTGTGCCTTTTGGAAAAGCAGTGTAGAAATTGCAGATTTACTGGGATAGAATATAACATTGCAGACAGCTAGGTGCCATATTCTTTTTTCTTCCAGAAATTCATGTGAAAAATATCTTTTTTTTTGTTGGCATTAAAAAAAAACAAACCAAAAGAAACATAAGAAGCATGGGGTTTTATCTTTAATTTTTGTACCTTTGGAAAAAACAGTGCAGAGGCAAAACTTTCTCCCCTCTGCTGCTATAAACCCAGTTTGTAATTTAAGCTCATACTTTTGACAGCTGCAGTTTTGTGTTTTGAAGATTTAACTGTTTTCAAATTAAATGTTTTTATTTCTTTTCCTAGAGAGCTAAAGTTTTGGCCACATCTTCTTCTGGGTTTCCTGGGTTTACTCCTCAGTCTATTCTCAGGTCCAGCCTTCGCACTACACCCCTAGCAACTCCCTCTGCATCTCCAGGACGATCAGTTACTCCTCCACTACGAGCAAAGGAACCTAGAATAACTTTCAGGGAAGAGAATTCTAATGCAAAATGGACTGTTGGGGTAAGCTGGGCTGCAGTTAGTGATTTTTGCAGTTAAATGCTGTGATTTGCTTTAAAGTTTGCCAGTACTCTTTATACTGAGAATTTGGATTGTGAATTATAATGGCAGAATTTGGTCAAAAAAAGGTAGTTATGTTAGACCTTCTGTTCACGTGCCTGCAGGTTTATTATTGTTATTCATAATAAATGTCAGGGACCTTGGTGTTTTTTACTCAGGGGTTGTTAGGACCCGTGCTTGTTCAAACTGCTAATTCAGCTTCCAGCTGTACCTTTTCAAATGATGGTGTGGCAGGAAGATAAGGAATATAGATTGAGCCATTTGTTTGGGTTTGTTAAATTTTGTGAATTAAACATCTTGGCAAGCAACAAAAGTCATAAGCTGCATTGACTTCCTGTCTGTCATTTCGCAGGGCTGGGTTTACTTCAATTATGGTAAAAGAGACCCCCTATGAAGAGAGCTGTAGTGTTGTCTGTTCTCTAGCCCTGAAGTTCTCATGTTTGCTTCTTGCCTTGCACCACGGATAGCGTCCATGTGCTTTTCTACTGAAGTTGGTCCATCTGACAGTGGCCCCTTCTGCTCCTATAGGTGTTCTGTAGCTGGATTCCATGGTTCAGCCGGTCATGCAGTTGCCAACATAATGTACCAAAATCAGAGGCAGAAAAGAGGGCATGTTCTAAGATGTACATGTATGAGCTTTCTGTCCATGTCCTAACAAATTGTCTCAATCTGGTTGATTGTCTTTTATTGTCTGTTTTAAAGAGCTACTGAACTGTAACAAGAGGTGCTCTCTCCTGTATGAAGTTCTTACTAATAGTGGCACTGTAGCCAGATTAATTTACTTGTTCTGTGCTACAGGCATAGTGAACACTAGCATATTTTGGTAGTGCATATGTGTTGGGAAGGAAAGCATAACAGAAACAAGTCTTGAGTAATGATTTTAGTAGGCAAAGCTGTCTTGTTGAAAACACACTGCTGAACCCAATGAACAGCCTTGATATAAGTAAGCACTTATAAGACTGACTTTTTCTTAATTCTTTAATGTTGTGGAAACTCAATAAGCAGTCAAAAGTGTGATTAATTTTTACACTCAGCTTTAAATTTAAGATAGTGCTAGAGTGAGAATTAATTTTGTATTGCCTTTTAAGGGGACATGTGTAACTTAAAAATATCAGTATATATTTGGGTTTTTTTTTTTGCTTTGACGGAAAGTATGCTCATGTTACTGATCTGAACTTTTTTTTAGGTAACAGAAGATGATAAAGCACTATTTGGAGCTTCATCTGAGCATCATGATGACACGGTAGAGGATGCTTGGTCTGAAAGTAGAGGTAAAACAACTCTGTTTACTCTGAGCAATGCTGGGGACAGTCATGCTGAATTGCAGGAGTCTTCAGAAAACATATCTGGAGGTAATTTGGAAAAAATGGATGTCAGCAAAGAAAATAGTAACTTCTCTGTCAGATCAGACCAAACTACTTTGGAGTATCATGATGCAAAATCACCTGGTGATTTTGAAGATGATGTCATCTTTATAGCTGCTAAACCAGCTAATTCCTCCACTGAAGAAACTGCTGATGTTCAAGAATTGGAGAAGGAAGGAGACAGTGAAATGATTGAAGATAAACCTTTCCAGATGGATCAACCAGATCCTTCGGAACCAAGAAAAGAAGATGGTGTGTTTCATCCTATGATAATCTAAATTTCTGAATTTTTCAAACATCTTTAGAAGATTAAGATGCTGATGAGTGCAGCAGCTAATGATGAATGTTCACAAGTGTCCTAGGCATTTCCTTGTCCTAGGTTTTAAAAATTACCATTATGTTTTAAGTAATTTTTTAGGTATCCTGGACATTATGAATGTATACTTTCCTTGACTGGCATTTTTTGTGTGTAGTTGCAGCTGAAAGGCAGCAGTGATTTGTGGGAGTTTTGAGAAGGAGACAAGTTGAAAGCTTGGGCTTCTGGTTGTCTTTTAGGGGTACTTCTGTAGTCAGCAGGTTTTTTTACAGCAAGTTTAGTGTGTGGCATGCTTTGACTATTTTTTTTTTCTTTTAACCATCTTATTAGTGCTCAGTTGAATAGTTTTCTTCTGGAAGTGAGTCTGCTTGTGTATCTGCTACTCATTACAGCTGTGGTTGATCATTTTGCTGGCTCAAGAGCTTATACGGCCTTTTCCAAACCTATTTCAGTTGATCTTTGATAATTCAGCTCAATTCAACTCATTGATGCCAGTCCAGCTGCAGAGGATGTGCTCATATTAGCAGGTCAGCTGGCAGATTAGAAGAGATGTAGCTCACTAGCTGGTGCGCAGTGATGAAGAGCTGGGAATGAAAGTAGTTCAGGAACAGGGAGAAGATACACAAACAGCTACAGTCAGTATTTGGTAAACAGCTGAGTCTGCTGAACCCTTTATAAAAAAGTTTTCCTGGGACATGTAGGCAAGTGTCAGGAGTTCTGTGCCTGAGGTCTTGAAATGGCTCATAACAGTGAGTGGGTACTCCAGTATCAGTGCATCATATGCATGCTGATTCAGTCGTAAGTCTGAGATGGTTCTGGAAGATCCTGAGGAGTGATTGTTGCTGTTGAATTTCCTCAGCTCCTTTTCTTATTCAATAACAGGAATGCTCAAATACAGACTGTGTACATTGGTAAAAAGGATTCACCAGATCTGAAATTTTTAGTAAGATAGGTCAAAACATTTGGCTGTCCTCTTTTAACAGTCTTGGATTTGGACAAGAAATCAAAGATGTTTTTCATTAAAACTAGTAAGGTACTAATCACTAAACAATAATCTTATAAAGAAACTTTGTCTTTGCATTCTCGTAAAGAGGAGAAATGGAGTAAGGAAAGAAAGAAGTAGTGCTGGAATGAGAGAAATATCCAAAGGAAAAAAAAAAACTTTCTACCCAATTTTAAGAAGGAGAGATATTTTCTGAAGTTTTTATGTATTAGTAACGTGGCAAGTTTAGTTTGTAAACAGAATTAGCAGTGGTCGTTTTGTTTTCAGGACTGAAATTATGCATCAGGCTTCTTGTTGTACTGGAAAGAAGAATTCAGTCCTTCTGCATTATTTTGTTAAATCACTATCCTAGATGAAATGCATAAAGGATCACTTTAAAATCATATGAGCATTTTAAAATTAAAAATGATGTTAAGTACAACAAGGAAGTAATCCATCTGTTCGTTTTTGTAGGATTTGTGGAAGAATCAAATACTGAATGTCTTACACTTCCCGAGGATGATAAATTGATGTTTAAAGCTGCTGAGGCCACTACTTTTGGGGCTACAAATGAAGGGTGAGCTTATGAAATAGATACATCTTTGGGTTCACACAAAATATAACTGCTGGCTTTTCTGTGTTTGAAAACCGTGATTTTGACCTGGGATTGGTTCTTTTCTGTGTTCTTATATATAGGGGCCTGTCTATTCCATTCTGTCTGTGAGCAAAAGTAATCTGGCATGAATTTAATGCACATTGACTAGCTGTCAGTTTGAGCCTCGTTTCTCAAATTGTTGCAGACTAAAGGATGACGATAAAGACTTCATTCAACAGACTGTATAAACCTTATTGCTGATTAAGGCTTACTAAGTGGATACTGTGAACATAAGCCCTGCTTTTGTCTGAAAATTATGTAGTTAAAAATTAATCCTGAGATTCCTGTAACTTCAGCGAGTTTATTTTGGAGTTTGAGTGCTTTCTGGCAATATTTTATACACTTAATTTCTGTTTTCTGTGTGTGCTCAATTGGCATTTGTTTGTTAATAGAAAGGGAAGCAGTTTTCTCACCAGGTACTTTCAAAGCTGGAGGTACTTAGTGATAAAGACAGAATGTTGGCAATGAAATAACCTTTAATTTTGAATGGTAACTTACACTGGTCCAGACTTCTGTTCAGTTTGTTCTGAACCTCTGTTATAGTAGTTGCCCTCTTTCTACCGAAGAGAAGTACTATATTATTCTTTAACACAACTCTGTTGTGTTAGGTAGCTGGGAAGAATGTTGTGTAGCTGTTGTGTTAGGTAGTGTTAGGTAGCTGGAAAGAATGGGAAGTACTTGGTTCGTTCCGTAAAATGAATCACAAATTGAATGTAAATATGTTGATAAAGGAATTTCTAATTTTTCTTGAGTTTTTTCTGGCTTGAAACTTGAAGATTTTACAGTGAGAAAGTAACTTGTAAAGCTCTTCAAGGTTTGTTTTCAAGAGTTATGATGAATTCTTTTCTTTCTGTTCATGAAGTGAAACAAACTACCAAGAGTCTGAAATGACCTCTTCATCAGAAGAAAAAGCCATAGCAGTTGCAGCAAATCCACAGCTCTCTGAGTTCCTGGAGACAGACAGTGAATGTATGTACAGTATGTTGGAAGTGTTCTGTGAGTTAAGGTAGCAGAACTCCTGAAGTAAAATGTGTAGTTTGTAATACCACTACAGGTGTCTCAGATTGAAGTAGTACAGTAGCATATTATTGTCAACTTTCATTAAACTATAGAGACAATACCCTCCCTAAAGAAAGCCCTTGTAGAAGTGCATAGTGAATCATCCTGCTCTTGATCAAGATGCTGAGAATGTTGGTAGAACTTAAAGTATTATAAGGAGAGATCAGTATTTATTTTAATGTTGTACACCACTACTAATTTGTGTGCCATGGGATCTGCTGAGTTACTATTTTAAAAGTTGATGCATCCTCAGTACTCATACTGAAGAAAATGTCTACCAGCATGCCTTTCTGGCCACCTTTTCCTCTCTTTTTTTGCCTGTGGACTTGACAGCTGATTTTCTCCTTCCTCTTTCTTACTGTGGGGCTGCATCCTTTAACAGGTATATAGTTGTTGTGGTTTAAATGCAGTTGTTAACTAAGGCCCAAACAGCTGCTCACTCATTTACCTCGGAGTGGAATTGGGGAGATAATTGAAAAGCTAAAGGTGAGGAAACTTGTGGATTGAGATAAAGACAGTTTAATAGGGAAAGCGAAAGTCCTGCATGCAAGCAAGGCAAAACAAGGAATTAATTCACCAGTTCCTGTCTTCAGTCAGGTGTTCAGCCATCTACAGGAAAGCAGGGCTCCACTGTGTGTAATGGGAAGACAAGTGCCATAACTCCAAATACTGCCTGCTTCCTTCCTCTTTCCCCTGCCTTTTATGCTGAGCATGATGCCATGTGGTATGGGATATGCCTTAGGTCAGTTGGGGTCAGCTGTCCTGACTGTATCCCCCCCCACCGCGAACTTGTTTTGCACCCACAGCCCACTTACCGATGGGTTGGGGTGAGAAGTAGAAGAGGCCTTGGCTCTGTGTAAGCACTGCTCAGCAGTAACTAAAAACATCCCCGTGTCATCAACACTGTCTTAAGCTCAAATCCAGAACACAGCAATACCAACTACTATGAAGAAAATTAACTCTATCCCAGCCCAAATCAGCTCAATAGTTTTGGCTTCTAGTTTTTGGAGAAAGCCCAGTATATGTGACAGGATGGAGAACTGTTTTGTTGGCTCTTGCTCCCTCTGTTATTTCCTGTTTATTAAACTTGTGTCGTTTATATAACGGTTAAGTTAAAATGACATAAATCTCTTCCAGCTGTGATAAGTATCCTTGACAGTGAGGATGTGGTCAGTATGCATTCAGAAAATCGCCTTGAGAGGAAGTGTGTGGATTTACCTGAAGAATGTAACCCTGAAGCAGCTGAAGTTGAAAAAGTCCCTGTTTCTAATAGTCTTCCTAAAACTGAGGAAATTCATGTAAGTAAATTAATTTCCCATTTTCTACAAAATAGAAAAGAGTTTTCAAATTGAGGACAGATCTGTTTTACTGGCAATTAGAAGGCACACAAAAATGTCTCAGTTTCTTTAGCTGCTTGACATGAGTTAAAAGCTCATTACATGTACTTTTTTTCACTTGTGCATTTTCTGTTCCTGTAACATAGAATAGAACCTGTCAAGACGTAGGCCTTTGAGGGCTATATTAGTACAAAATAAATGTCTGAACTGTTTTTCAAAATAACCCTGCATTCATTTGGTTTACTGAAATTCAAGCATTTTTTGTTTGACATAAAAAGAAATAGTTTTAATGTTAAAAACAATAAGAAAGCTTCTTGATACGGGGAGCCGTTTACCAAATAACAAAATTATGCGGGAACCAAACTCACTTTGAGAATGATTTAGCTGCTTAGGTCCTTTACTATTTGTTCCTTCTTAACACAAGCAGAATTCCCAGTAATGAGCTCATTTTGGTGTCAAGATATTTCTTCATGAGATGGAGGTATTTAGAATGTGTTATCTCGTGCAATCCAAGTGACTCCTTCAAGTGCAGTGTTGACTTTCTGCATGTGATACCTGGCCAGTCTGACTAACTGTTGCAGTTACACCTATCATGACCAAAACTTTGAACTCCAGGGACATAATTGTGTTTTACCCTGTCAGACACAGAGTGGATCACTCTTGTGGGTGTGGAGTTGTGCAGAAGGCACTGCAATGTGATGATTAGTGCCAGTTGCATACACACCTTGTGTTGTAAAACTGCCCACTGTCCATGGGCGGTGGCACATTGCTAGTCCTGAACGGAAATACCAGAAAGGGAGCCTGTGAATTGCATACACTGACTGCTCTGATCTCTGCCCCTTAAATGAATGAACTATCATCTCTAGTAGAGAGTACAGTGTATGTTTCTAACTTTACATTCAGTGGTGATCTGAAAGAAAAAGCAGCTTTTCACTGTCTTCAGTTTCATCTAGCTCAGTGTGAAGTTAGTCTGTCTGATAAGGAATAAAGTATTAACAGACATTTTTTAACTTCAGGTTATTGAAGATACTTCAGAACCACCACCTGAAACATCACCATATAGTGAACTAGATCCATCGGGCAGTCTTCATTATAGCTATGAAAATATAGAGCAACAGTTTGCATGTGATTTGCCTGATAATAAAGATAGTGAATGTGATGCAGCTGAGGGAGATGGAGACCTTTTTCTATCTCAGAGTAGTTTTAGCTTAGTTTTGGAAGGAGAAGAAGGTGAAGCAGAGATGGGAGATCCTACATTAGTAGATGCTTGTAAACCAGAAGGCACAACAATGGAGGAAAAACCTGTGACCAATTTAGGAAATACTGAAAGCCAAGAACATGTTACAAACTCAGTGTCCACTGTAACTGGTGATCAGGAATCTCAAAATACTGCAGAGTCATTCCCATATGTGCCTGAACCCATTAAGGTTGCTATTGCTGAGAACTTACTGGATGTAATCAAAGACACAAGAAGTAAAGAATTTACATCTGAAGTTGTAGAACAATCTATTCATGAAACTATAGGTAAAAAGGTAACTAGATTCCAGAAGGCAAAAGCTTTCTTAACACCTGTTCCAGAAAGAGTGGAAGAGGAAACCAGCAGACATCAAGTAGAGTATGCCATTGCTCCAAGAACACGCACAAGGGGACAAATAAGTAGAAGTCTAAGTATTCTGTCAGCAGACCCTCAGCAACTACTAAAGACAGGCACACCAGTTCCATTTGGACTATCTCCTCGGAGAAGTACCAGGCGAACAAAAGAAGCATCTGAGACTTCCAGTCTTCAAACAGAGGAAAATCTTCAAGAGGAGCAAATACCTGCAGTGCCTGTTACTCCTAGGAGAGGTAGGAAACCTAAACTGACTCATTTAGAAAAAACAGAAAGCCATTCTGATGGACAAACCTCGTCAGACACTACGCAGTCCATAGCTGTTACTCCAAGAAGATTAAGAAGAGCAAAGGAAACTGCATCTGAACTCTCAGAAGAGGCTAATGAGGAAATGTCTCTTGCTGAAGGTAGCATTATTACCTCTTCTGCTTCCAAAAGGATTAGAGGAGGAAAAGCTTCAGCTGGAGATCCAAAAACTGGTGAGACTGACACTGATCGTAAGATAAAACCAGCAGTCAGTCCCAGTAGAAGCGCAAGAAAACCGAAAAGCTTTAATTCACAGTTTACTGAAAATACTGTTCAGGATCAAGAGGTGCAGCCTAGTGACCAACTCCTTTTACCTGTGCCAACTAAAAGAGGCAGAAGAAGAAAGATAAGTTCTTCAGAAGTTTCAGAAAATTCTGATCTTGATCTGTCTAAATCATCGCTTCCTCAAACAGAATTTAAACTTCCTGCCACTCCTAGAAGAAGTGCTAGGAAGGGGGCACAAAATCTTATGGCAGACACAGAGTCTACCTCTACTCAGGAAGACATAAATTCAGGTGGGAAAGTAGAAGTCCTCGATACTCCTAGGAAAAGAACTAGAAGAGTGCCACATGAGAAACCAGAAAAAACGGATACTCATGAACAAACACCTGCACAGCCAAGTGAGGAGCCAACCACACCCAGGACTACAGTAAGGACAGGGCGTCGGGGCAGAAAGAGGCGATCAGTGTCGGAGGAGGCCCTCCCGCAGGGACCTGATGGCAGTCCTTTGCTGCTTGAAGACATAAACCCATCAGGACATGATCACACATTGAGAGCTCTAACAGATCGTGTTACAAGAACCAGATCCCGCAAAACTGCCACACATCAGAAACTGACTGTTGAGGAAAATGAGTCCTTTCATTTCTCTCCTCCTCTCACAAAGCTGACAAAGAAATTTGAAGGTAGGTGCGCTATGTTTGTACACAAAATAGGACACATTCCTCTTCTTTAAACCACAGAATACAAACTGTGAGGATGGTTTTAAGAATTGTAAGGAATATAAGCATGCAAAAAAAAAAATTTGGCTAGAGGCATTTTTTTTTTGACTGAACTCTACATGACTACCTGGTTAGTTCTAGTGGAACTAAGAGGTTATGAGGCTGATCTAAGCACTGAAATGAAATTTAAGCTGAATTTTTGTTTTTGTCAGTTTTGAAAAACAGGGGTTATCTGTGAATATGTGATTGCTGTGCCATCTCTTCCCCCCAGCAGAGAAATAAAGGAGCCATGCTTCCAAATTCTGTTCAGTTTTGAAGTTCAAATTGCATTTTGCAATAAACTGTACAGCTGTACAACTGTACAGCTGTTAAATTATGTGATTGTTTTTCATGGGCATATACTTTGTCAGCAAAATTAGTGTGCATAGGAATATCTTAATTAGAGTATATGATAAATTTTTTTGAGATGTGTGAGAGCTGTTGGTGCCTTTTGAGCATAATGTCTTTGATTATATAAGTGCATGTAAAATCACTACACTGGCTTAGTTTTGTTTCACAATTTGCTGTAAAAGAATGGATCCCAAAGGGCAGTTACTGGCAGAAAAATACCTTTGCATGGAGAGTTTATAAACCTGTTTGGATCTTTTGTTTCAGGAAGCTATTGTGCTCTTTTTTATCAGCTGTAATTTAACATTACTGTCCTTCATGTATAACGTGTGTGCATGCTGACAATGCATTGTCATTTCAGCTGGAAAAGCAGACCATCCTATGCAGTTTAAGGATTTAGACCCGGATTTGTCTTCTCAGTTCGTCTTTTCACCCCCTCTTTTGAGGTCAAGAAGAAAAGATGTATCTAGCATTTCCCGAATCGTGAAAGAACCAGTAAGTAAAAGCTCTAGTTGTCCGATGTTCTTGATTTTTGCTCTGTACCACTTTTTTAGATCATACTTTGCAATGTTTTGCCTTATTCCTTGGAAACTTATCTAAAAAGAGAGCTTTAATTGAATCAGCTAAACAATTTATTTTTTTTCTTCATGAAAACTAGCTACAAAAATCAGTTTTGAATCAATGTAAGTCAGGAATTGATAAAAACTTTTGAAGGCACAGTGGCTTTCTTTAAGCTTACTTGGTATGTTATCTGTTAATTTCAGAATTTGAACTTTTAGGATGGTAAAATAATTTGAGGCGGAAGGTTTGTTTTTGCAGAGGGTAACTAATACTTTTGGAAATAACATTATAATGACTTCTTAATGAAATAAACATTCATTTTTGTTCTGTAGAAGTGTATGAACTTGTTCCTGAGTAACATTTTTGTTGCCTTAACATAGGAGCTTCCAACTAAAGAGGAGGAGGATACCAAATCCACAGAATCTGGGGGAAAGCAAAAATTGAAGAGAGCTAGAACTACAAAATCAAAAATTAAGAAAGCAAGCAAGTATGAAATTATTTTTAAATAGTTATTTGCATTTCTTTATTGTCACAGTGATTCAGCTGTCAAGCACCTAACTACTTCTTCCTCACTTGTTCGTGCATTTCTCCTCTGACTTTATGAGCCTGTCCAGCTTGCTGGTGTAATAGGCACCTTTTTCCCCATTTTGGGTTTGGTTTTCTGATGGATATGGAAGAGGGAGGGGATAGAAAAGGGCCCGTGGATACTAATCATTGCAATAATGTCATGCTCTTAATTCGCTCTTAATTCACTCTTAATTAATTGTCTTAATTCACCTTATGAAACCACACTCTTACAGTCTTTAGTTCCCCATACAAGGCAGGAAGGAGCCAGACAATAAGTGAATGGAACTTTTTGTTTCTGGACATGTTTCCTGATTCTTTCTGGAAAACTGTTTGAGAACAATTTGCCTCTTAAAAGCTGGGACAGGGAGCTCTAAAAGCTCTTACGAATAGTGACCAAGAATGCTTGGGACAGTCTGGTAAGAAATTAAAGCAAAATGAAACTTACTTAGGTACCTTTTAATTCTATCTACAAAGAAGCCAGTGAATATTTCTTCGGCATTAATTTTGTAATTCCATGGTATTTTTTTTTTCCTCTACTAAATACTGTTGGTCTTAAAAAATTGATTTGATACTTACCTTTCTTTTCAGAACCACAAAAGAATGTTCTTGGTCACCTCCACCTGTGGAAGTAAAATTCATCTCTCCTTTTGCAAGTCCAGTAGATGGAACAAAAAGCAAACAGAAAGAAACCACAGATGCAGCAGGGAAGACTCTAAGAAAGAACAAAAAAAGACTGTCTAATTTTCCAAAGCCAGTTTTGCGCCGGAAGATGCTGTAACTGTTTTTTTAAAGTTTATAATGTACACCACTGTTTGTAAAGTCATCAAAATTGTGTGAATTAGTAAAAAGAAGAAAAATCATCTAATTTGGAAGAGATAATTTATATAAATTATTGTAAAATTTCATAAAAAATGGTCTTCAGTAAGTAACTCCATATGGAGTGTGATTTCCTCAGTCAATGCAGTTTTCTATTTTATATTAAGACTTCATACATTTATATAATATGTAAATACAGCTTATTTTAGGAATGTTAAATAAAAATGTATACTTCACAATGTGCTTACTGTCTGATAGCTTTTTGAGGGAATATTGGGTTGAATGACCTGTATTGCTCAGAACTTTTAATGTTGGTTTGTGGGAGTTACAGACTCTCAAAAGTAATTCCAAAAGCTTTTGAAAGGTTTGTTTAGAATTCCTATAACAAGTAAACATTTTAAACATACTAGTTTAAATTTTAGAAATTATGTTTGACCTTCAGGTACAAATAATTGGACTCGCAATACAAACTGGTAATTCCTTATGTTCACGGTTAAGTTGTACTGTACTGAAGTCAGAATGTAAACAATTGTGTTTTAAGCTGTGCAATATTTTTTTGTATTTGTCTTAAACTTTGGCAGAGCTGCTCTTTAGTTCATAAAACTAGATCTCACCTCAGATGTTTTGCTATTTCTTACAGTTTGTTGTCAGCAAAAAATTAACTGTATAGATGGTGTGATGCTTACAATAGCATATCAAATTTGAAGAGATACTACCCACATACTTTGAAATTTGAGCCAAAATTATTTTCGTAATGTTAATATGAATGCTACTATAATTGAAATACTTACTGTCTGTAAACATATTTTGCAGTATTTGAGGCCTGCATATCACAGCACTGAAAACTTGATGGAAAAGCTAATATAATAGTCTGAAAAAGGTACAAAAATGTACAGAAATCTTAGTTACAAACCATATTTTTGAATAATTATTTCATTAACAGTCTTTGGTTAAGGAGTAAATGTCCCTATAAAGCTTCAATTTGTATAAATAAAGTCACAAACCTATTCTTTTAAAAGCAGACATGGAAGTACTATTTTGATGTGCAGTCTTTTAGACAATGGATTATTTTTCTGTATGTTAATTTATATATGGATGCAACTTAGAAGACTACAGAATGGTGGAACCTGATATTAAACTTTTCAATTAGTAAAAACTACTACAGTTACTCTAAGACATAATTTATTTATTAACTAATAGCTTGTACATAGTGAATGAATGTATTAATAATAGACTAAGCTTGTAAAAGAAGATTGTTCTGGGGCCATGATTTTTCTATCAGAACAGGTGATTCTAGAGAATGACCTGCATGCACTTGAGTATTTTTCTCTTTGGAGGAATATTCATGACTGAATGAAAACTTTAAAAAATGTCAGATGTTTTAAGTTTGAAAGTGGCAGTTTGGATGAGACCTTTCACTCAGGTTAGTAATTATTTTCTCTGAGTATTCTGTACTTGAATGACAGTATAAATATGGTCAGAGGAGAAGAGAGGGAAGTTCTAGCAATATTTTTTTTTATCTACATTGTACAGAAATGCAGCGAATAGCTCAGAAAATAAGGTAAAAAGTCAAACTTTCAAAATTGAAAGAGAATATAGATTGCAAATCAGATTATGTTTTGTGTAGTACACAAGAGTATTTATAAAATACTCCAGTTCCTGTTAAATGGAATTTTCTGATATAATCCTAGTGAAGATTACTTAATAGGGTTTTAACATGTTTCTGTCATATACTTACATATAGGTATATTTTTTGTATGAAAATCAGTTAGAACAGATGAAAACACAATATTAGCTAAATAATGTTTAGCCTCTTCCTTTGCATCAGCTAAATTCTCATTTGGCTGTACTTAGGAAGAAAGCAAGCAATAACAATAAAAAGACGATTGGCATTAGGTTTAATAACTCCCTAAAGGTTCGTAATTTTCTAGTATTTTTTTAGTTTGAAGGAATGTTAATTATATGTTAAAATGTTTTACTCCTTTTTTTCCCTTTTTTTTTTTTTTTTAGTGATTTGGATTCGATGCGTTGTTCTCCAGTGCACACCACTTTCCCCAAGGAGCAGTTTAAAAAGGAATGTGAGCATAATGTGTAACAAGGAATGAGAGTTCAGAAATTTGAAGGACATAGGAGGAAATGGAAGCAAAAGCAGACACTGAATTTCTAGTATGAGCCTGAGAAAGGGAAAAGCTAGCTAACAGTGTTAAGATGGCAACTCAGGGATGGGTTTCTAATGAAGTGAGAAAACAGATTTTATGTGGGTACTTTTTGTGTAGGCTTGCTACAAGTATGTATAGGGTGAGTGGAAGAGATGATTTGCAGATGTTTGCGTGTGTATCTGAGAGGAAGATAATATTCGTAGTGCCAGAGAAGGGTGTGAGGGGCCTGTGAAAGGAAGAGGTGATGCACTGTTGTGGATGCATGCAGAAGGCTGTAGGGGCATAGGGCGGCAGTTTTCTTGCAAACAATGAGAATTTCACGGGAGCTACTCAATACAGCTCATCACTAAATAGAGCATATTTATAAATAGGGGGCCCCCTGATGGTCTAGTGGTTAGGATGCGGCGCTCTCAACGCCGCGGCCCAGGTTCGATTCCCGGTCAGGGAACTCCTCCAGGCAGATGGAGCTCGTCAGCCCTGTGAGGCCATCCATGTAAGAGAAGGTCACTCTAAACAAACCTACGTCCTGAGGACCTCGCTGACACCATCCGAGCTTGCCCCGGCAGATGAACCTTAGGATTAAAGGGTGGGCTCAGTTCAGTGCACACTGTGTCTCACCTAAAAAATCCACTGTGCAGGCTCGAAGGGTTAATGACCTTTCCCAAATCTTCGTTCGCGAAGACTGGCCATGATGAAATAGAGCATTGTTTTCTATAGGCAAGTAATTGCTTGAAGGGTGTGTATTTTTCTTCGTTAAGGAAATGCTAGAATTCCTCGAGAGTGTTTTGATGCATCTCCTTTGATCTAATGTCAGATGGCTAAAAGCTGAAGCCAAATTGTGCATCTGTTCCTTTGGGGCTGTAAGATGAGAAAATTCCAATGGAACATTGACGGCCTTGGGATAGCAGAATCCCACCTCTCAGAAAGAATAAAATCAGGTGTAATGGCAGATTTTATTTCCAGGAAACACACAGTGGGAGATATTACTGAAGGGAGAATGAAAAAGATTAAGGGCTGTTGTTAGAAGGTATTTTATCAAGAGAAGAAATGTTTCAGTGGAAATGGTTCCCTGCATTACCTCAGAGAGTTAACACAAATATTCCTAAGACCTTTTTTCTTCAAATGTTTAGAAGTTAAGGCTGATGAAAGTATTCTTTCCAGGTTATAACACAAAGGAGAGTTAAAGTGAATCTGTTTTACTTTTGATAGCTACTTGGTGCGTAAAGTGCTAATTGATTCACATTGACTTTGCTTATTAGCCTTAATATTTGTACATGCCCAGTGTGCAGATAAGGGCACAGATAACTAATGTAATCTCCTATCAGAACTTCCTCTCATGGAAGACTACTCTCAGGGTTGTTAGCACAATATTTTTTTTATTTGCTGCAATTTCATCACTTCCCATGTGATTACTTCCCATGTAACGAATCATAAATAGCTAATAGTTGTTGATTTCTGGTGGGAAAAGAGAAGCTACAGGCAGAAACCATTCCAAAGGTTCTCTTGAATAGTTAAGCAATGCTTGTAACTGATTAGTTTAGGCCAATCTGAAAATTATAAAATGACAGAATTTTAGATAATAGGGTAGCAAATATTTCTTCTTTTGTTTGTACTTTTGTCTTCTGTGCAAAACTTCTGGGTTACCATTCTAGGAATGCTTTTTTCATCAAAGTAGTCAAGATAATGAGTCTGTTTGATATGCTTGGAGATAAATGTACTGTGGTTCCTTTTGAATTAAAGCTGTCCTAAAATAAAATGCATTTTCCGATGCACTGGACTGTGTGGATGACCAGTATGTGTGAGGCAGAGGCAAAGATGCAAGTTCTGGTTATTTGCTGAATGATGTGTCCATTCATTCAGGTCAGTTACTCCTTGTCTGTGATGGTTCAAGAGCTGGCTTATCCCACAGCAGTCATTGATGTGTTGTGCATTCTGCGGAACTTGGTTTAAATCCAGGCGAAAACATGAATTATTAATGAATGACTGATGGCTTGCATTTTGATACTATAATTGGGATTTTAATAACAGAAGGATGCAGGAGGTAGGTGTGTGATTTCTGTAAAAATGAACAGCACAAGCATATACGACCTCAGGAATCCAGGGCACAGGAAAATCTTTACTTTTGATCTGACCTTTTGGGGCTTCTGAGTATGGTGTCTTTCCTAAAGGACAAGAATGGCATGCTCATCTCAGCAGGATCCAGCAGTCACACAGGCCAGGTAAGATTTTACTCAAAGAACCAACTAAAGTCAGTTTTAGCTAATATACTGTTGTAGACTGTTTTTTAATATCTCCTTATTAACATTCATGTACATGTAATGCAAATGTCTGGTGTTTACCTGTTTACTGGTTTGAAGTGTTACCTAGATGTTATCTACATTTCTGACATCCTGCAACTTGGTGCTACTTTCAAGCATGTTTGCAAATCTTGATTTGTAATTTAAACTCTTAGTGGGGACACTCCTACTGGACAGCAGTGCTTGCACATCTATGAAGAGGATGCACTTGGTGGTTTGTTTTGTTTTTTTTAGAGAGGGGCCTTTTGTGGTTTTGGACATGGAGTGCTGGAGAACACTTGGTCAGGTTATAATGCTGCTCTGCTGGTGTACGGTCAGACCAGCCCAGAGAAGAGCTATTTGATGATTGGTTATGGTGCAAGGAGCGACCCAGCGCCTGTTGTGTGTAAAGAGCTCTTCAAAGTCACCTGACATCAGGAAAAGACCAAGCAGTACCACGTGGGAGGTAGCACAAAGCATCATTTATTTCCAAGAATTTTCCAGATTGTACTACAAAAGACGCAGTTAATTTCAAATTGGGAAAAATGGAAACTGAGTATATGGAGCAACTTAAAGTAAAGCCATTGTGGATCCTATAAAATAGTGTTGAATTAGAAGTTGGTGTATTACAGCTAGATTTACAGATAAACCCTAAAACAATTTGTCAAGGGTGTAATTAATTGATCCCTAACATTAGAACCAAAAATGTCAGGTTTTAGTAACCCGGTTTAAAACAACTGTTCAAACACTGATCTTTAATATTCTTTATGCTTCCAAACTTCACTCTTGCACAGGGTATTCATGGGAAAGTCTTTCCACCACCTCAGTAAAGAAAACTGATGCTTTCTTCTGTACAGCTTTATACAGGACAGAAGCTTTATTGTGCCATACCTCTTTATGCACTAGAAGTCTTGGGTTTTTTTTAGTCTTAGTACAGTTTTTGTAGCTGCTGGGTCCTCCTGCTCCGTCACCATCCTTCTGTGCTTGTAGTCCAGTGTATTCTAGCACTGCTGTAAGCAGAAAGCTTCACTCCTGTGCAGTAGTGCCTTCTGTCTACAACAGTACCACCCTGGTGACTGATGGCTGCTTGTGAATTACTCCTGTGTTACTTCCATCAAGAAAGAGCACTTTGTTTTCCCTAACCAGCCTCCCCAGCTCTGTGCCCGCAGAAATAATTTAAGGATACAATTTGTGAACATGTTGCTGTTTTCCTTTGACATCATCCACTGTGCGTCCCTGTGATAAACACAACAGTGAAAACTCACTCCTTCCCATCTCGCTCGCATTATCAACATGGAAATGCATAACCCTATCTGAATCTGAGTTACTCCTGTTTAAGACAGATAGACAGATAGAGGGAATAAAAAAAATCATGTCCCGGATATTTATTTTTAGTTCTCAACCTTTAAGCTAGTACAGAACAGCTTGGTTTTTGGTGGGGTTTTTTTCAAGTTAATGAATTTACTATTGTGAAGGTTAACATCTGATGTCAGTGCCTGCCCACGTAGTGGTGGGATGTTACAAATCTGCTAACCCAGGGCATCTTCCTTCCTGGTCACAGGAGCCTGCCCAGATGCACTCCATACCTTGGGAGTGTTTCTGTCCAAGTCCCATGGATGTGGCTGCTGCTTTCTTCTCTTGGCAAGTTAGGCCAGTAGCGAGGCTGAGCATGCACCATGCACGTGCATGACACCAACGAGTGTGGGTACATAGGTTCTTAGAGACAGGGCTGTGCCTTTGGCACGTCCCATCCAGCACTATGGCAATTCACCAAAATCCTCCTCCCTTGCCTGTCGGTTCCCACACACACCTGCGTTTACAGAGACCCAGAAGCTCAGCACAGCTTCAAGCCCAGCAATTGTCTCTGCCCCCACCCTGGGCTGCATCCCTGCCCTCTGCCTGAAACAATCTTCCCAGAGACTGGTTTTTCCTGGTTTTTCCTCCTACTCACTGGCTAGCCCACCCTGAAGTCTGCAAGCAGTTTATATGGACTCAATGTAAGACTTCAGAAGTCTTTTCCAGCCTAGTTGACCCTGTGACTCTGTGATATGGCTAGGGGAAAATACAACCACCCTTCCCTTGCTGGCAGCTTGGATACATGTGCCACATCCCTGTGGTCTCCAGCCCAGCTCCTGGCACTGAGACCTTCACTGCCCCACCCACTTGCTGACACTGCAGACACAGACAGGCCTCTGTCCCCCATGACCTGACTTTGGTTGCTGACTCACACGATGACCTGTGGTCCTGTCATCAAAATTCAGGAATAAAACTCTTTAAAACCCATGTAGTATTAAGAAGTAGACGTTACCTTATTATGCAGTTGGGCATGCGAGGGGATAACTCTGCCTGATGTGCATGCCTGGCTCAAGATGACACACGTATCTATTAACCAGGGATATACATATTCCTCGGAGAAGTGTTACATATGAAATTGTTAGCCCTGGTTATGTAAGCTGTGCAACATGCTTCTGAACAAGCTGTGTTGGGCTGGTTTGACTTGTTACCGAGCTCCCAACCTTCCACTCATCGTTATGTAAGTTCTGTTAACTGCTGCTTCTGCATCATTTTCAGCAATTCCCACCAGCTGCTGGCACTGGGGCCCTCCTGTGATCTGAACACCATAATGTAGCCTATGCTCTCATATTGCACGTACCCTTATGCAGGTAATATATATACACTGTTTGTGAAAGCAGCGAGGCTGAGCGGGCACCATGAGTGTGCATGGCAACAACATGGCGGTTGTTTAACCAGGCAGAAGCACTTCAGCAGGAGGCCGTGGTGTGTAAGAGCCAAGGAGTGTGCGATTTGCTGCTCTGGGAGTTAAGGGGTCTGATCATTTGATTAATAAGGCTTTCAATGCACACCTTTGCTGAAGGGGCCTACACCCCTCCCCTCCCATCTGCTCTTTGTGAACCGTCCAAATGGAGGAGGCGAGAAGTGCTCTCTGTATGCAGAGTGGTGATTGCAGGATGAGGGATGGGTGTAAAGGGGAGGGCACAGCCTCACAGGAATCCAGTGCGATTTGTGGGGGTCTCGGAGTCTTTGCATGAAGCAAACAGAGTTGCTGGCTTAAACGAAAGTGCTCCCTGTGTTTTAAGTGTTCCTTAATAAAGCGTGACTCCAAGTCAGGAGCTTCTGACAATAGAAAGGTCAGGGTCAGTCTTTCAGGTTTAACAATTGCTTCCTGATCATGTCAGGGGAAATTAAGAGAGATTTAGGGCCTTGATCGTGTTGGGACTGCTGCATTCCGTGTGGGGTGTAGGGCCAAGCGTGGCCGTTCAGGTGCCTTTGCAGGGCCCGTCGGTCTGGGTGACGGTGTCAGCCTTGGCTGGCAGCTGTCCCACGCGTTTGGGCACAGCTCTGTATCCTGTGCTGCGGAGGACAGCTCCTCATTCACATGCTGCCTCAGCTCTCTTTCCTGCATCGATATGCCTGGGTTGGCTTTTTCAAGTCAGTGAAATTAGCATGATCAGGCTTCTGTTAATTCTGTGTCTTCTGGCTAGTAAGGTGCTGGATACAGTTTTAGAGAAATAGTGATGACTTTGGTGGTGTGACATTGTTTTACTTGTGTGAGTGAGAGAACAGAATCCTCAAATTGGTAAGAGAGAGTCACCAAACACCTGGGCCTGTTGCATGGAATGCAAACGTTTCTGCAGTTGAGCTTGTCAGATTGCTGATTGCATTTGAGAACTAGATGTTCCAAAGCTATCTGGGCACAGTCCTGGGCAGCCTGCTCTAGATGACCCTGCTTGAGCAGCAGGGGCTGGACAAGATGACTGCCAGTGGTTCCAGAAGGCCATTGAAGATTCTAGAATTCGTGCTGGGAGGGGCAAGCAGTGAGATAGTGTACTGGTGTGCTCTGTATTGAGACACTTGGAACCTATGCCTCTCTGTCCAAGTAAGCCAAGGAAATGTGAAGACAAGCATCATTTCAGAGCTGACTTCAGGAACTTTGGTAGCTTAGCCACATTAGACAGGCTGCAACTCTTGAATGAAACTAGAGTCGTGTTAGACAAGAACCATAGGAGGTAGCTTGGTAAACTTCCTCTAGTGATCAATTCTGATCTGTGTTGCTTTTGCTTATTTTCTCATTTAAAGGGAAATCAAATCTTTGGTCTGCATCAGATACAGGCTCTTAGCCGTTGGGGGCTATTGGGATAGAGTGCTAAATTCCTTTCTCCTTCTCATCTTCTGCTGTACGTTTTTGCTTCTTGGAGAGCTTGTGAAGCACCTGTGCAAACTCTGCAAAAGCATCTCTATGCTGCACTTGAGGGAAAAACACCTGACTGTAGAATTCTGATAGACAACTTTGGGGCGGGGTGGTGGTGGTCATTGTTCAGTGTTTTCATTAATGGTGTGGACCACGGGGCAGAGTGTACTCCCAACAAGCTGACTGATGATACAAAACTGGGAAGAGTGGTGATAGACCAGTGGGTCATGCTGGCATCCAGAGGGACTCTGTCAGGCTGGAGAAATGGGCTGACAGGAACCTCCTGCAGTTGAACAAGGGGAAGTGCAAAGTCCTGCACCAGGGGAGGAACAACCCCAGGCTCCAATATGTGCTGAGGGCTGCCCAACTGGAAAGAGCTTGGCAGAAAAGGCCCTGGGAGTCCTGGTGGACACCCACTGGTGGTGAGCCAGCACTTTGCTGTCCCTGCAGTAAAGAAGGCTGATCGTCTGCTGGGCTGTGTGAGGAGGAGCATTGCCAGAGGTGGAGGGAGGTGAAATTCCTCTAGTCCAGCACTGGTGAGGCCACAGCTGGAATGCTGTGTCCAGGTGTGGGCTCCCCAGTGTAATAGAGAGATGAAGGTAGTGGAAAGAGTGTGGCAAAGGGCCACAGAGATGGTTAGAGGGGCTTGGAGCATCTCTTCTCTGAGGAGAGTCTGGAACTGTTCATCCTGGAGAAGAGAAGGCTCAGAGGGAATCTCATCAATGCATTTAAATGCCTGAAGGGAGGGTGTAAAGCAGGTGAAAGCAGGAACATTCCAGTGGTGCCAGTGACAGCCTCAAAGGCAATGGACACACAGAGAAACCTTTCAGAGATGCTATTCACCAACCAGATGTACCTGCCTTAGTATTTGGTGTTATGGGTTACTCTTCAAACATATCCATTAAATCCTTCCAGTTCAAGTCAGAATGCTGGTGAAATTGTGGGACTCTTTACTCTCTGGAGCCCCTGGATGCAGTGCAGAAGTTGTCACTTGGAACTGATGGCAAGTATGAAACAGGAAACCCAGCAAAACTACTGCAAATAAGTTGTCCCATTTGGAACTTGCTCTGTGCTAGCAGTGAATGCTGGCAGAGTGGTCAGGCCTGGCTGCAGCAGCATCCTGCAATAGTGGCTTTGCCATCATTTTTCTTAAAATGTTGACCTGTGCTTAGTGCAGGCCCCTGAGTTACCCTTCCTGTGCTCGTTGTTGTCATGCTGGCAGCAGATACAGGGGCACAACCCAGGCACGGTGACCTATGTGTAGTATCTTGAGATGGTATGAAGAAAGCAGTGCTGTTTGAACAAGAGAATTGAATCTCTTCCAGAGGCCTTTACCATAAGCCAGACAACTTGCAAAAACAATTACTTAAAGTAGTGTGTATGGAATATCTCATATTTAGCCACCTATTTAATGCTGTAAATCCGTTCCGTTCTTCAGTTTTTCCACCAAAAAAATCTGTCTTGACATTCTGACATATGAACTCTTGTGGGGCACCTACAGAGGTGTGAAACTGTCTAATAGCCTGTTGTGGTTTGGTAATGGTATTCTCCAGTTTAACTCTCCCACTGAAACCACACACCGCTACTACTCCTCCCTCTTCCGTGGTGTCCTGGAGAGGAGAACTGGAGGCACAAAAGGTAAAAATCACAGGTTGAGATAAGAACAATTTGCTGGAAACAGCAATGAGATAAGAAAATGAACAGTAACAGGAACTATATTAATAACAAATGTGTACAAAAAAGAGTGATTTACATGGGAAATTTTCATTCTAGAGCCTGAGCCAACTGACTGCAGTCACACCACCCTGACTGGAAGAGAGCTCTTCTCCCTGGAAGAGACTCTCTTTCTCCCCAGCCCCAGCAAGGAAGTGAGGTGGTATAGAATAACCTTCTGGTCCTGGTGCATGCCTCCTCGAAGCCTAGAAATTTTTGTCAAATACTGCGAAGATATGATAAGGAAAGGCAATAGGAAGGAAGGGAAGGAATAAGGAATATGAGGATCTCAGTACAGAAAAACCCCAGTGTTTTGAAGTGCTATGTTATGTTTACTTCCTGAGTGTATGGAAAAGTACGTGCAATTGATGACCCATGAAAGTCTGTTTTGCTTGAAAATACCAGCAGTACAAAATGTAAATAAGACATGAATGATGTGTGATATTTACTAGAAGACAATTGACAACAAATATTAAAGTGTTAAATCAAGGGAGAGGACAAATGGAAAATTATACCTCTTATTGAGAAGTTTTTTAATACATAATTTTTCTGAAATCACATCTTGCTAACTTATGTGAGTAGACTTGAACTTGGTGTGTTGTTTTCTTCCCTGTTATTGATATTGTCCATACCTCTGTGTCATCTTTTGTTGGTGATCTCATAGGCATCAGAAAAATAAAGGATTCTCCCTTTACTCAGCTGTGAGAAGAAAAACTGTCCTGAGTTCAATTTTTTTAAGCAAAAAGAACTACAGGTGATGTATACGAGATTTTTCACTGCATAGTGATGAAACTTGGGTCATTCTCAAAAATATTTATGGCTCACATGAGACTATTTTTGCCTTTTTTTCTTCATTTTCAGTGAAGAATGCGAGACCTAACAGCTCAGGTAACGAGCAGTCTGCTGCAGTTTCCAGAGGTGACTGTTGAGACACTTAAAGAAGCTGAGACCACCCTAGATTCTGGGCTGAGTGGGAAGTTTTCTGGAGGTGAGCATTTTCCTTTAGATTTGGTCTTGGTTTAAAGTTGTTACTGCCTGAAGCACAGGGTCATAGCATCAGGCTGGTTCTGTTAAAATGCATCAGGTTCTGATAGAACAAACAGGATATTTTAACAACTAGAAATGCTAATATTAAACCATTAATAGAGTTAAGCATTGAAATTGCAAAAACCTGCACCAATCTTGTGCTATTAAAGTGATATATACCATGACCATCCTGAGTCAATGAGTCCTCCCCAGTTTTGAACGGAATAGAAGGCAGTTTTGAACGGAATAGAAGGCAGTTTTGAAAAAAGCAGTAGTGTCGTTTTGGGCCGCATTTCTTTGTACCAGCTCAAGCTCTATCTCTGTCATAACATCTCATGCAGAAATAGTTCTTCTACAATGTTACAGAGGCAGAACAGTCTGCTTTTTCTTCTCTAGTCTGAGTAAAAGGCCAGAGGGAGAGGAGAGCTCTGTTTAGCGCTGCCCACATATTTCCAAAGTATTTAATAGGATGCAGATGAGGACCCAGTGAGAGTTGCTGAAAGCAGCTAAGCAGATTAGGTAGTTGACTTTCTAGGCAACCTGAAAGTCGAGCTGGATGTCTCTCTGGGTGTCTGAGCTTCTGTTAAGACCAGGTAGAATCTTACCTACCTGACTAAGTGCAGTACTGGAGTTAATCCTTCCTTTGAGCTTGAAGTTCTTCAGCGAAGAACTTCTGTGATCAGCACTTGCAGAAGTTTAGATTTCTGCATGCAGTGCCCACTTCAAGATAATTTCCTGTTGATGTCCAAATCCCTTCCCAGAGTAGTCATGTGTGAAGTAAAATAAAGAAATTGGAAATGAATTGGTTTGGATGGGTTATATTTGAAGTATGCTTTACAATTTATGTTCCTGTATGCATTTGATGGTGTTTTGTAGCAAACCCAAGCCCAATAGGGCATAAAGACTGGAGGTCAGTATACTGTCATCTTTATCCCAGACAGTCAATGTTGTTGAGCACAGGAATGACAAGTAGAAATGCAAAATACTGAGGTTGTTAATTGTAAGAGGTACTGCCTGAGGATTGCAATGGGCAATTTTAACTAATTGTCCAGAAGTAGGTGAGTCGGTCTTGCTCTCTTTGACAGTGACTTTTCCGTTGTTTCCGCCTTCTGCCTGGGATTTGTTTGGTCAGCTTTCTTCTCTCTTACAGGCAGAAGTGGCCTGGCGTGGCTGGTGTGTGGTCCCCAGCTGGAGGTTGTGAGCTCTGTGACAGGAGAGCGGCTCTCTGCGTATCGTTTCAGCGGAGTCAATGAGCAGCCTCCCACTGTTCGTGTGGTAAAGGAGTTTTCATGGCAGAAGAGAACTGGACTCCTGGTTGGGTTGGAAGAAGCCGAGGGAAGTGTTCTGTGCCTGTACGACCTTGGAATCTCCCGAGTGGTTAAAGCAGTTGTTCTTCCAGGCAGGGTATGTACTCTTTTGGGGAAAGGAAGCTTTTGTGTTGTTAACTTCTACACCATCCTGTTTTGGGAAAAGCTCTGGAGTGTCTCTTTGTGGGACTTGGGTTTTCTGTATTGTCACTTCAGAGCACCCAGTCAAGAGAGCCTTTTTCTCAACATACCTTTCTGCATTTTTGTCATTATTCTTCTAAGGCTTGAATGAGCACCATGTTTTCTGGACTTTTTTTTGTGTGTGGGTTTATAATGGCTGCGTATTTCAGAACTGTGGAATGGTATTTTCCCAAATTTTCTTGGTTTCCATGCTTGATATAGGGGTGAAGAAAACTTCAGGGGGCTTAGGGGTATCAATACTTTTCCCCACTTCTAGGGGTAAAAGAATCTCCATAAAAAGATGGACTGCCTTGTGATGCTCACTTCTTTTCCAGTAAACGTTTGTTGTTGAGGTAAAGCTGCCTGTTTTCATGGTGTGGTGTTTTGTAAGAGGCTGAACAACAGCCCATGTTCTTCTGTTGTTCAGCTTTAGTGCAGGAGCCTTCATGTGCTCGTGTCTCTGCTAGAACAGCCAGTGTTGTCCTGGGGTGTGCTGTGGGTGCTGAAAGGTCTGTCTTCACCTTTTCCTGGAAGAGTGTGCAGACTGCTTGGCATGTCAGAGAGCAGAGAGCACTTGTGCCTCAGGCTGGTTGAGGTTGGCTTTTACAGATTTCATGGACATCCACAACAGTTGCTGGTGTGCGTTTAAAATTTGTCTTTGTCTGTTGGGTATTTTCAGTCTAAGTGAGGATAAGTGTAATTTCTGCTAAGCCAGGGTCTCCCTTCAACCCTTTCTAAGAATGTTTGATTCCCATGGAAATGGTGTGTCCATTGTGCCCTTTGGCCACTGCCTCGTTTGACTTGCAGCCCTGATTTATCCCACTACCTGTTTGGCAAAGAAGGCCTGGACTGTATCACAGTGCTGACGGTCTGTGAGCAGTGGGAGAAGTGGATTTAGCTGTGTCTGTCTTACTTAAATCGCTTAGATATGATAAAGCTTTTTGCATGTAACCGATTTTGTGTGCTTTCTTAGACTTATTTCTAAGTAGGAAATGGAAATTGGTGAACTATAAAGACAGAATGCACCATGTAAGTGGAAATTGGTTCAGCTAAATAACTGTAGGAAATGTAGAAAATAGAAGGCAGTAAGAGATTTTGTACAGAGCTTTCTTTTTATAAATTTCCTTTTTCTTGATATCATTGGAAGGAATGCTTTGATTTTAAGTCTTATGATTCTGTATTTACTTCCTTGTTTCTAATGTGCTAGATACTGCTTCACTTCTGAGTGATTGCTGTTTACCTTGTCAAACAGCTCCAATATTAACTTGTAGTTTTCCTGAAGGCAACTGCAATAGAACCCATAAGCAATGATGGAGGAGCCAGTGTGAGCACTCAGCACCTACACCAGAGTCTGCGATGGCTTTTTGGAGTGGCAGCAGTGGCTACAGATGTTGGTCGTGTACTTCTGGTTGATCTTTGTTTGGATGATTTATCTTGCAGTCAGAATGAAGTAGAAGCATCAGGTAAGCCTGCAGTTTTTAAATTTGAATTTAGTAGTAGGAAAATTTGTGTCTTGTAAAAAACCAGCTTGCGTCCCACTCTGAAGATACCAGAGTGCAGGCTCACTACTGACATTACTGACATTTCTGCCTACAGATTGCAGATGGCAGTTTGACATCCTATGGTCCTGACCTGATCAAAAATAGGAGTGCCTTAATACTCCTCCTGGTGTTGTAAATACCTCTTCCCACCCAGATCCCTTTGTCACTGTGATACTTGCCAGTGGGATACAGGAATTTTACCATTTGAGTCAGTGCACCTGCCTGATAGGGAGTTGTGTCAGAGGTATTTCTTGGGAGTGTTCTGTTTTCATTAATGGGGCAGACTTTAGGCTTTGAAATAAATCTGACTTATGAAAAAGTCTTGCATTGATTGAACGCTGTATATTGTGTATTCGGATTGCACAGACTGTTTTGGCTATTTCAAGAGTGGCTTCAGGTGTTGATTTGAGTCTGCACCTGCCTGAAAGAAGGTTATGTAAGAAGTACCATATTTCTTGGGAGTGTTCTCCTTTTTCCATTAATGGACTTGGGGCAAACTTTAGGCTTGCATTTTAAGATAAACCCAACTTATCAAAAATCCTACATTTGGATGAATGAACCCTGTAAGTTGTGTATTCAGATTGCACAGACTGTTTTGGCTATTTCAAGAGTGGCTTCAGGTGTTGATGTCCCTTCAGGTAGATTCATCTGAGGCACATACTCCTGATTTATAGAGTCCAAGAAGAATTTGCCTACAAAAGTTACACTTGTACCCAGCTTTGAAATAGGAGTGAGAGTACCTGTCCAATGGCAGGCTTCTTCTGTTCTTTGAATAGATACAGAAACAGCAAAACAGGTTTTGCAGAAATGGGTATTTTGCCTGGGATGGTAGAATTAGTTTATACATGTTGTCACCAGTCTAAAATGCAACTGAAATGGCATAACACGCTCATTTATTGCCTGCTTTTATGTATGTAGATCTAGAAGTTGTCACTAGAATTCCTGCTGAAGTTCCACAAAGAAGAGAAGCTGTGACCAGAGAAGGGAGGCATCTCTGTTTTCAATTACGAAGTCCTTCAGGAATAGCAGTGTCAACCCTGAGCTACATAAGCAGAAGCAATCAGCTCATTGTGGGTTTTTCCGATGGCTACCTGTCACTGGGAAATATGAGAACTTTGAAGAGGGCGTAAGTACTGCTTTCCACTTGGCCATGGTTGGAGGTGCAGTGGTCTCAATTTTTTGCTTCAGAAAGTATGTTAACTTCAAGAGATCTTTTTCTGTGACTGAAATGTTGAGTATAACCTTGGAATGTTCAGAAATCCTCTTTTGAAATAAATATTAGGTCTTACATGGGTGGAGTAGAGCACCTTCTATGCAGTGGACTAAGATTGCTCTCCTTATTGTGTCTGTGGATTGAGGAATTGTGGAAAGCATGCTGCTTTCAGTTATGTCAGACAGTAGGGATGTGATTTTTGTAAGTCAGTTTGTTCTATCCAGTAGTATTCAGTGAAATCTGGTAATGCGTATAGTTTGATGAAACAGGTTTTAAAATGTATTTTTCAGAATGAGTTACTGCAATTAGGGCATACACTGAAAGGCTTCAGTATGCGAATAATGTGATTTTTGTGATAATTTTCTTCAAAGTATCCAGGATTAAACAAGTGAAACATGAAAAAATCAATAAGTAATCTGTACTTGATAACACATCCTTTTCTACATTTCAGTCTTGATGGAAATGGGGGATTAACCCATTCCAAGGCAAGTATGCACATGAACCAATTTTTTTCTTTTTTCAAACCTGTAGGCACTACACTAGGCTTGCAGGAGGAAGGATTCCTGTCTGTGCTCTTACTTTTCAAGAGCCTGAGAGTGATCTTTGCAATTGTTGCTACCTGTGGGCTGTTCAGTCTACACAACAAAGGTGAATAAAAATTACTTTAAGCCACTGATTTTTAGTATTTGTTTTAATACTTGTTCACATACAGTTGTCCCCAAGGGAGGGAGGTGACAGTATTGCTGGTTGCCTTGTGACGGCTTCAGCAGTCTTTGGAGCCTTTGTGAACCTGTTTGCCTTCCCTGGCAGAAAACAAACAGTGTTGAGCAGACAAATCAATGGTTTCCTGCTGGGCTAAGGAATCAAGTCAGTGTGGAAGGGTGCAGTGCATGCAAGAGAGGGAATAAACTTTGGTGGGAAGGGGAGAAGGATACCTCTCTCTCTCTCAGCCTCAGCGAGCTATTTAGTCAGCCCCAGCTATTCAAAGAGTGGCAGTCTTAAGTTTGACTTCAAAACAGTTCTGATGGAGAACACTTTACTGTTAAGAGCTATTTCCAAAAATTTTAGGTCCATACAACATATTAGAGCTTTCCAATGGTATGGAAGCTGTTGGTGTCAAAATTTTCTTCTTTATGTTTTAATGGCTAAATGTGACCAACTATCATGTTTTGAGAAGTGGCATTTTTCTTTTCAGCAAGAGCATGTTCTTGAGTAAGTTTCAGCCTAAACGTATTAAAATGATAATGAGGACTGTAAAGCAACTTTGTAATCAAATTTCCTAATTTATACCCTTTTCAGTGAAGGGAATGCTCTGAGTTTACATCTATTGCAGTTAGCATTTGGTGACAGAAAATGCCTGGCATCTGGACAAGTCATGTATGAGGTAAGACATGCCTGTGTGTGAGACATGAAAAGATCGATTTTCTCTGAGTATCAGTTGAGTTGGTCAGGCTAATATTTACAATGAAACTTCAGAGAGGAACTGAAGAAAAGAAAAAGTCTTTTGGTGAGTTTTCTTGGACATGGCTTTTGTCTGTACTTTTCAAAAACAAGTCATACAATTTTATGCTACAGAGCTGTGTATTCCAACTAGATTCATCTGCAAACTACATTCAATTCCTGAAGAGGAAACAACTCTTACAATGAAATTATTTTTAATTTAAATGTCACATGAATGGCATGTAGGAAGAGAAGACAGGACTTCAAATAGCTTTGTGTAACCAAACTGAACATCAAATAACACATAGCACAAATAACAAATAACACAAGTGTCTCTTAAGCGTTGATCCTGAAACTCAGTAGCTGTAAATATAACTGTTTTACTTTTTGGTTGGGTTGCCCCTGAAGTCTACTCTTAAAGCCAGCAAAATATGTAAATTCAATGAATAGTGATATGATTTGGCTACCTAGGTAGCCTCATCTCCTCGGATGGCAAGATTGACGGAGAGATAGACAACAGGTTAGCAAAGGCATATAGTGCTTTTGGAAAACTCCACAAAAGAATATGGTGTAATAAACACTTGAAGAAAAGCACCAAGATCAGTGTTTACAAAGCCATAGTGTTGTCTACTCTCTTGTATGGTTCCGAATCATGGGTCATCTACCGCCACCACCTGCGTCTCCTAGAACAGTTCCATCAATGCTGCCTCCGTACAATCCTAAACATCCACTGGTCAGATTATGTGACCAATACATCTGTTCTAGAACAAGCAGCAATCACAAGTATTGAGGGCCATGTTACTGAGAACACAGCTGCGATGGGCAGGGCACGTCTCCAGGATGAAGGACCACCGCCTTCCTAAGATCTTGCTTTATGGTGAACTTGCCACTGGCTGCTGCAACAGAGGAGCCCCGAAGAAAAGATACAAGGACTCCCTGAAACAACATCTCAGCCTTGGCCATATTGATCACCATAAATGGTCTACTCTGGCCTCCAATCGGGAGGCCTGGAGACACGCCATTATAACGCAGCTGTCTCCTTCGAGAACACACGCAGGATCACTCTCGAGGAAAAAAGGCAACGCAGAAAGAACCGTGTATTGCAGAATACACCATCTAAGGAGTCTTTCTGCTGTGCCTTTTGCAATCGGATATGTCTGTCACGTATTGACCTCATAAGCCACCAGCGTGCCTGTAGCAAATGTGGATAGAGCCTTCCCAAATCTTCGTTCGCGAAGCCTAGCCATGATCATGATGATGATGATATAATTTGGTCAAAGAGTCTCCGTAAACTTTTAGAACTGGTTCCAGAGGTGATATATTTAAAAGATAGGTGAGGTCTCAGATGTCCAACATCTATGAGAGGCACCTGTACAATGTTTAATTCTGTTCAGAAGTGTGCTTGAAACTTTTCTAAGATCTTTTTGGTGGGAAAGTAATCTTAATTCAGAGCAAGTCTTTCCTCCTACTTTGATACCTTGTCTTGCATTTTCTCATTAGGTATGGAATAAAACTGAGGTGATTCTTCAACTGTTATACTCTATAGGGACTGCGCATTTTGAATTTTTTGAATGAGTTTAAATTTTGTCCCTTTCTCCTCATGTATAGGAAAGTTCCTTCCTCATTTTTCAAAAAAAAGCGCACAAAGTGATTAAATATTGTTATTGTGTTTGTAACCTGAGAAAGCTGCAGTGTAGTTAATGTTGGACTTTCAACCCTCAGAAGTACAGTATTCACATGTTGTATGGTAGACAATTTGAATGAATGTTGTATTTGGAAAGACAGTATTTCAGTTAATGTTTTCTTAGAAAATGGTGATATCAGAGGTTCGAGACAATCCTTTCTGTATGTCCATTTCTGTGTATCTCAAAGAGGTTGCTTACTCTGTAGTAATTTGTGATCCTAAACACATTGTCCATGTGCACTCCATGTCGTCTTTATAAGGAATTGAGGGATATTTCACCCATTAGTCTCCTACAAGATTAGAGGAGGAGCTGGTAAGAGTTTATGAAGTTTGAAAGAAGATTGTTAAATCTGTAAAAGGTTCTCAGTAACTCTCTCTCTAGTAACTCTTTTTTTTTCTTTACAGCCAAACTTGCCCATTATGATTTGACACTTAATTTTCTTGCATGTCAGATGTAGTTTCTATTCATAGGAAATATACAGTACAATTTGCATATTATATTAGATATTTGCATTATTTCATATTTAGATATAATGTATGTTTTTATCTCAAAATGACCTTTTCTCTCTTCTTCAATTTTTTTCCCCCAGGATTTTAAATACTGTGTTAAACTGTACAGTTTAGATCTTACTGGTGGAATTTTTCCCTTGAGAGGGCAGATCAGCAGTACTAAATTCCTCAGCTTTCAGACCATAGAAAAATTTCACAACCATGTTGACAAAGAGGACAGCGTTAATGAAGGTTTGTTCTGATGTCCATGTTTCATTATTCTAAACTGCATGGTTTGGGAATCTGAATGCTGTTCTGTACCTACTGTCTAGCCAAGCTTGTTGGGCTTATTTAAAAGAAATTGGATGCTAAAGTTATGTGGGACTTTTTTATTCCTCTGAATATCATTCTTTAAGGGAAAAATAGGTTTTATTTTACTCTTGCTGACATGCTAGAGGAATGTATAGTGGGGTCATCTGTATAATGCTGGTCAGTCAGTTTATTCAGCCAGCTGTCATCTTTGAACAGTAAGATCATTCTCTCTACTGCTCAGGAATGTTACCTGAGGGTTTTTCCCCCCATTCAAGCCTATGGCTGCATCCAGTTGGCAGCCGATCACTAGTGGTGTTTCCCAGGGCTCAGTATTGAGGCCAGTCCTATGGAATATCTTTATCAATGATTTTGACGAGGGGATTGAGTGCACCCTCAAGGTGTTTGGGACCACCTTGGACCGGAGTGTTGATCTGCTGGAGGGTAGGAAGGCTCTGCAGAGGGATCTGGACAGGCTGGATTGATGGGCCAAGGCCAATTTTATGAGGTTCAAGAATCCCTTGCAACACTACAGGCTTGGGGACCAGTGTCTGTAAATCTGCCCGGTAAAAAGGATCAAGCAGTCCTGGATGACAGCTTGCTGAATATTATCCACCCCACACCCCTAAAAAAACCCAAGCCCCCAACATAACAACAAGAAGAAAATCCTTTGCTCTCTCGTTTTTATCAAATCGAAAGGCATGGCGAAATACTAGTGAGTTTTCTGGTGGTTTCTATTTTGTTGAGAACCTGTTCAAATTAGGTTCGGGGGACACATGAGCTTGTGTTGGATGTGTGTTGAGGCTAGCAGTGAAGCTGTCTTCTGAATTGTGAAAGTAATTGTTATATTCAAAGGCAGTTTCAGCAGCTAACAAAATGGAAATGGCACAGAAGTTTTTAACGTGACACAGCAAAGTCTGTGAGGATCCCTAAATAGTAACTGTGAATTCAACAGAGAACAGAGAAACATTTTGCCAAATATACTGTCTGCTTTTGTTCCTTACTCTATTAGGGTAAAAGATATACACATACTTTGTTTTGTGTCTAGAGAGGGCATTCTCCCCAGGGAAGACAGAGCATTCCACTTATTGAGAGAACCAAAATAGAAGACTATGAATGTTTTATGTCAAAATCTTTATTCCAATTTCCTGTTTGTGTTTTTAATGATAATAATTATTTATTTATTTATTTATTTAGTGGGATAATGCTGTTATTTCATTCTGAATATGATGGAGAGGAGTTATCCTTTAAACTTGTAATTGAGTCAAATCTGGAAATTATTCATGCTAGCTGAGTGATACAACTGTTTAAGATAAATAAATGTATGTTTTTTAAAAGTAACTATGTATGTGCTCCTAGCCTATATTCCCCCTAAACTATTAATCTAGCATGCAAAACTTAATTAATTAACAGTTATGTATTTGATTTGGTTTAGAACAAAAACAATTGGAACAAGCAAAAGAGACAGTATGACTGAAACCTATCACTGAGATGTTCGATATACTGTAAATTATTTTTATCATTCTTAGTGAAGTATTGTGTTTCATGAGTGAAATAACAGAATTAAGCTAAAATAGAAAGTGGTGTTTCAAAAACAACAAGTATTTTGTATTTTCTACAATAAGAAACAATGGCTTGTTTTTGACAGTAATCTCTCCTGACACCAGTGTATCAGTCTTCAGTTGGCAAGTGAATACATATGGTCAGGGAAAACCATCTACTTATTTGGGTGCATTTGACATCAATCGCTGGTATCATGCTCAAATGCCAGACTCACTGAGGTAGGTTTTTTTTATACTGTTTTCAATATCCCCACAAGTAAGTCCTTTGAAAGTTAGTGTTTAGCTGATGCACTTGTTTTCTTTAAGGCCAGAAGAATTCCTTCATGATTGCCCCTATTTTGCATTGTGGTCACTGGATGCTGTAATAAGCATGACTTCTCCAAACCTCATTTTGGATATTCTGGTACATGAGCGGAGTTTAAGTCGGGGAGTTCCTCCTTCTTATCCACCACCTGAGCAGTTTTTTAATCCAAGCACCTATAACTTTGGTAGGTATTTCAGTGCTTTGAATCGTGACAAGCTTCAGTTGAGGTCAAATGCCACTTAGTGGTTATCTTTCTTGTTCCTCATTTGTCATGCCAAAAGCAAAACAAACAAAACCCCCAAACCCTCACAAACCTGGTTACCTTGTGCTAACAAGGTCTTCAGTATTGTGAAACATATCTGACAGTCTGCTGAGTTGTGGGTTTTGGTGCTTTTGTAACGTAGCCTGTGAAGGGCTGATGGTCATAAGATGAAATGACTTTGGATTGAGGTACAAAGCACAGCACCTCGGTAGCTCTTCAGATAAAGTTTCTACAGACAGAAATGATTTTTTTAAGGAAGTTTTTAAGTGATCTGATGAAGAAAAGAGGCACTCAGGGTATGTCTTTCCAGATCTCGCTATTTAAAGAACAGAAACAGGTCATACAGTGGGAGTATTGAAGGCTGTTGAACACTCATTGTTTCTGCAGATGTTACATGCTTGCTGAACTCAGGAGTCGTTCACATGACTTGCACCAGCTTCCAGAAAGAGGTGACTTTTTTACTGTATCTATATTGAGAATGAAATGAACCATTTGTAAGTTTGTACTGCCTTGAGGGTTGGAGATCACTCCATGTTCATCCTGTCTGTCCACATGCACAACTGCAGTTATGTCCTGCCAGTTTTATGCAAATAGTACTGATTCAGGGAAGCACAAGTAGGGATTGAATGCCTAGAAAGGAATGTAACATTGCTGTTGGAGCAAGAACAAAAGTGTTGTGGAAGTTGGGGAAAGCAGTTACTTCATTGCCCATCAGTCAAACTATCTGCACAGTCTGGAGTTAGGTTTTGATCCCTGATTAACTTGAGAAAGGAAGACAGAATGGAAAAAAGGAAAAATTATTTAACAGTTGAAGAAGAAATTAATATTTTTTTCTCCCCACATCAGCCAAATTATAACTTCTGAGCCACTGCACAATTTGTGACAAATCCTTTCAAATTAAGTTCCAGCTCACTAAATATTCCAACATGAATCAGCTTCTGCACAAACAAGCACAGAAGGGATCTTCCAAAGTGTGATTTAAAGTTGTGTGTTAGGTTTATTTTCTACAGAATATAATTTGTGTCAGTGGTCAGGGAAAAAGCAGGGCCTGTGTAGTGACAGAGAAGCTAGAAAATCTTTCCTTCAGCATTGCAATGGCTGATATTTTCATATCTTCCTCTACAACATATTTTTTATAAACTGGAACTGTTAGTTTGGCTGCTGTTTTTAAGACAGAACCTTAGTGATCGAGTATTAATACTGTCTTAATCAGTGGTTTTTGACTGATGTTTCAGACCTTGAAGTCTTTGAAGAAATCTGGCCCACTAACAAGTGAAGCCATTCATGACAGCTACAGCAGATGTCTCGTAGGTGGCTTGCTGTCTCCAAGACTGGTTGATGTCCAGCCATCCAGTTTGAGTCAGGCGAGTGTACGTTGGGGAATCCAGGGGAAAATACATCCATCTTTTTTGATGGGATGGTTGAGGCTACAAGACATGATCATCTGATTTTTATGTGTTTTGCCAGTTGCATTGAAAGGCATTGTTGACTTTGGTTAGCAAAAGTAAAAGCATTGTTAGATCCAGACCACTGACTTTGACTGGGAACAACCCTCTTTGAAAGCTGATAGAACAGCCCATAGAACACTTATTTTGCGAGCCTGATGAGGGCTCTTATGTTCCCGTTAGATGTTCTGGTATTAATTCTGGTTTGGAAATAACTTGGGAAAGCAAAAAATTTTGTGATGACCTTTGCTGAATTGTGACTATATTGTTGGAGACTTGTTATGCTTTCAAGTGGGGATTGCTTTTAAATGCTAGAAAGAAAATTTCAGAATAAGGGTCAAGAAGCTTGGTTTGGAGGTTTGTTTGCCACTGTAAGTAGTATTTGGTGTGTTTCCTTGTTTCAAACCCATTTTCAGAAAAAAATATTTTCTAATGTGTAGAAATCTCCTTGAATGTAACCATTTATCTAGAAAGCAAACATGTTGTTGAATTTAAGAAAAGCAAAACAACAAACATAGAGGAAAATAAAAAGAAAAAAGTAAAATATTATGCAGGATCATTTCACCTGAAAGAAGTGTCTGAACACCACCTGAAATAAGCTGCTACCTGATTACTCAGATGTGTGCACACCTGTGCATTGTCCTTCTCAAGGATTGCCATGATATTATACTGCAGTATTTGAACAGCCTGAAATCTAAGCCCCTTAGAATTGAAATGTTTCACTTCTCTTCTGGCACTTTAACAAATTACAACTTAATGTTTTGGGTGTCAAAGCTGCTTCATGTTGTGATAGTCCTGGAAGCTGCTTGACCTGAGCTTCACTGTTTCCATGCAGACACAGCTGTATTAGTTCTGTCCCCTTCACGTGTTCCTGATGGCAAACGTGTGCGCAAAGTGCATGAGGGATATTAGCACAAGATATTCCTGAAAATAGTTATTGGAACTCAATGAATGGAGACTAAAACACAGAGGCACGCAAATGCAGATTAGAATTAGCCAATTAGTAAGTTGAAATGTCAGAGGAAACTTTTGCTGTGTTCCTCAGAGCAACAGGCAGTCCAGCCAGGGCTAGAATGAAGAAGAAGAATGTGGAATTAGTTGCATGTGCACTAGTTGACTTTGTGATGTCTGAATGAGTATCCAGTTGGAAATAAACACTTCTGTGGATGGTTCAAAAGGTATCAGAAGTATGTGAGGTTCTCATTTAATTTGGTCTGTTCTGTTTAGGAGGAGCAGTTGGAAGCAGTATTGTCAGCTGCTGTCCAGACAGGTTCTTTAGAACTTCTGACTGGATGCATCAAACACTGGACTTGTAAAGGTAATGCTCTTTACATTATTTTTGTGTTCTGTATGTTTTAGTTTGACCTTGTATATTTATTTCTTTTTTGCTTTCTCTTTTTAAAGAGCAGCCAAGTTCTGCTGTTAATTTACGGTTTGTTCTTGAGTGGACATGGAACAAAGTAATCTGTACAAAAGATGAACTGGACCAAATATGTGAGTACTCCTGTTGTCATTTTTGAAACCTAAAATAGTTCTTCCTAAAGGATCTTATTCGGTGATCTGCCAGTATATGACAGTGCACACAGTTCTTTAAGTGTCCTTTGGAACTCTACAATTGCTCTGTTGACTAATGATTTAATATTTATTCTTGACAAGGTGTTCCACTGTTTGACGGCTCCTGCAACTTCATTGACCCACAGACATTACAGTCCCTTCAGCACTGCCAGTTGCTCTTGAGCAGCCTTAACACAGTCTTAAACTGTTTTCTCACAGAAGCACGAGAGCTTACTGAGAAAGGTTGGTGATAGCGCTGCTAAATCTTCGGTCTGTTTGATGAAGATCTGGAAGGATGGTTGGGTTGTAACTGTGGAGACATGAGCTTTTGTTGTTTTGGATGGTTGGGAGGGAGTCGGATTGAGGAGGGACTTCTCAAATCTCAGAAGCTGGGACTATGATTTAAGGTGCTTTGAGTTCAGGGGAACGGCTGATTGTGGAGTTGATGTGAGTGGGTAGAGGAGGCTACATTGATTCAGCAATAAGCTGTGTAAGCAACTGGGTGTGGTAATGCTGAAAAATATTCTTGACTCTTAGCTAGCAATTTATAGCTGTGTGCAAATGGCTAGAAAATATAAAGGAAGCTGAAATGAGTAACTTGTAAGTTGCGTGAATTTCTGTAGCTTCTGTTATTAGAAATTGTTGTTGGCATCTTGAGGGGAAAAGACAACCATCCCTTTGCTATAGTAAAAATCTCTGCTACATGAAAAACAGATGTCTTCTTTGTTACTGTATCTAATAGTTCAAGTTTTATCATCTCATTCCTTTTTTTCTGGTTTTACAGACTTCACAAATAAGCAGCTGGTAACTAGCCTCATTTCTTTGTATGCACAAGTGGTCATCTGGTTCTGTCGATCCAGTCTCCCTCCTGAGGATCTAGGTAAGCCTATACTGTAATACTGGAACACTTGTTTTTACAGTAGAAGCATTACCTCTATTTTCTGAACCTTTTATTTGTTGCTTGAGATGAAAATACACTTTGAAATGCCCTTAATTTAAATAGACTATAAATTCTATTGTCAGCCTTAATTGTCTTATGCATGTTCACATGTCACATTCAAAAAACCATTCCCTTTGATAGTTGCTTGTTTAATAGTGAACTTGAGCTTCCACTACATACTCTGAATGCCACATTAGCTGTAAACTTGAAATGGATCTTCGGACAAGAGGTAGTAGTCAAATCTTCTGTCTTAGTTCTCTCCTTGCAAAGGCAGAAACAGGATCGGCTTCTTAGAGAGTTGAAAGCTTATTGATGCTTGTCTGATCTTCTGTCTTAGTTGTTTTAGTTAAGAAAAACTTACCACTTAAAGAAATGGTCTTACTTTAACTTGCTTTCACTTTATTGCCTGTAGATGACCATGTGCGTTTGTCTAGACCTTTCTACAATTATCCTTTGATTCAGAGCTACTATACTGGTCACCGACAGAAACTTCAGCGTTTATCAAGGTAAGACTTGCAGGAAAGCTCTAGAAAAACTTCCTCTGTTAGACTGTAGGAGAGTGGTTTTTTTTCCACTTAAAAGCCTTTGCCTATGCTTCCTTGGTTTCACATGTAATACAACAGCAAAGAAAACCTATAAACGGTCATTGCAACTTTTCTCTTGGATTTCTACTTTAGACTCCTTTACTAATTCTTGTGACCTAAAGACCATCTTTTCTTCAACACAGAAATATCTGCCATGTGCATTTCAAGCCATAATCATGCCTGTGTGTGTGTTCCTTTCTTTGATTCATAGGAAGGGGGTTTTTGTTTTGACTGGTGGAAATCTGTTACACTGAGAGGCTGGACTTAGTGGTTTATTCTGTCCAAATCCTTGCTCCTTTTTGTTGCAGAGGAAAATGGGATTCTGACTGCTTGATGATTGATGGAATGGTTTCCCAGTTAGGAGACCAAGTTGAGAAG